CCTTTGAAACCCGAGAGAAGAGCCCTTCCACACCAGTCGCTGAATCGCCGACGAGTGACGACTGATGGTAGAGACGAGGTACGGAAGTAGATCCACAGACGATGTATACGAGTACACCTTTCACCACAGACGAGGTATACCAACGATCGCTGGTCACAAAAGATCTCTACTAATGGAGGGTGGTTGGGAATCGGTTAGAGCGGGTCTCCATTCGCAGCAACCTCCACGTGGTGAGACCTGAGTAATATTATTTAGCGTTTAATTAATAATCGTATCACTCTTAGCTGGGTAATGCAATTATTAATTAAAAACTAAATAATATTAGCAAATTGGCTGCGAATCGCTTTGCATAGGTCAACATAAATATAGAGCTTCTTCGCTAGGTTAGTTTTGATTCTCATTGATTCATCAAAGATTCTAGAGCATTGTCATAGATGTGGTATAGAAGTAGATCCTTCATCCAATGTATTTTTGCGGCCTATTTTTATGGGGTCTCGAAACCCCATTACCATTTTCGTGTCATTCGCAACGTTACCGACAGATTCAGAAATGAATCTACAGCTGGTTGCCTATCAATACTAATTCAGTGAATAGTTTTTCAACTGACCGCCATCCATGTGAAGAGGAATCACCTCTGAATTTTCAGGTCGGTATGGCAGTCAGATTGGGCCACGAAAGTCCATAAGGTGAAAGGTCTACTCGTATACTTCGTCTGTAGTAAATGGTCTACTCGTATACCTCGTCTCTAGTGTAAGATCTACTTTTGTTTTACGAAGCAATTGATCTACATCGGATCATTTATATGGATAGAATTCTACATAACCAACTGACGATTAAAAGGATCATCAGCTTGGACCACAGACGAGATATATGAATAGACCTTTCACCTTATGGACTTTCGCGGCCTAATCTGACTGCCATACCGACCTGAAAATTCGGAGGTGATTTTAGCGGCCTCTTCTCTTGGATGGCGGTCAGTTGAGAAACTCACTGAATTAGTGTGATAGGCAGCAGCTAGTTGCATGTAAATGCATACGAGTTGAAAAGTACGAATTATTCGGCATTCCTTGACTAGTTAAAGTTGTAAATAATTTGCTAAAATCAGTCTAACCGCGGTTTTTACCTGAGGCATCCCTCGGGTTCGTAATATCACAGACGAGGTATACGAGTAGACCTTTCACCTAATGTATTTTTTCGGCCCGTTTCTCTGGGGTCCCGGGACCCCATTACCATTTTCGTGCCACTCGCAACGTTATCAACAGATTTAGAAATGAATTTTAATCCCTTTCATAGCCAACTCACATGGATTTACGCAAAACTACAGCTGTTTGCCTATCAATACTAATTCAGTGAATAATTTCTCAACTGACCGCCATCCATGAGAAGAGGACGCTAAAAGCACATCCGAATTTTTCGCTCGGTATGACAATTGTTCGAACTGACGTACAAAAAGACAAAAATTAACGAGATACACTCTTCCAAAATGGAACAAAATGTTAAAAAGATCATGCATCAAATTGTAAGGGAATCCTCGTAAGAAGGCTTTAATCTTCGTAATGGTTTTAATGGGTCGATGATCAACAATGACTAGTTTATGGTCACTGGTGGTCAACAGTGAGGTGGACATCAAGGTCAGCGGTCCAGTGAAGAGCCAGAAATGGTCAAGAGGTGGGACCAATCGAAATAGTTTCTATGTAGACGAGACAGTCTTACCTGTTATCTTCAACTTTGGCTCTGACTGGTCTCCCCACCCTTTCATCACCTTAGTCATATAAGCAGGGTCACTGCGAAGATTTCTTCAGTCGCGTCGCGAATTCGGGAGTAGGCAAATAGCCAAAAGCGAACCGGGGACCGTTGCTGACCACTACTGGCCAGCGCTGACCACAGCTGACCATGGCTGACCAATACTGACCAATGCTGACCAATGCTGACCAATACTGACCACTACTGACCAGTGCTGATTCGCGTTCCTGCCACTACTGACCACTACTGACCAGTGCCGGACGGTGATGACCAACGGTAAGAACTGTTTAAAAATTCTCTCCCCTCTTCTATTCTATCATTTGATGCCAATTTTGCTTCAATGAACTGATTTTGCCTTGTTTATCTAACTGATGTTGCTATAATATGAATATTTTCTTACTTTACAGCTGGCCCTTATGGTAACTACCCTATGTACTGACAACAAGTAGTAAGTCCACTCCACTTATTTATATTTTATTATTTTTATTTGTTTGTTTGATGTGAATTCAACTGTATTTATCTATCTGATTTTATTTGGTTATTATGAATGTTCCTTTTCTATGTTTCTACTTTTACATTGTTTGTCGAATTTATGTGAATGCTTTGATATGTATAGTATTGCAGGATATGATAATGTAGTATTGTTTTCAATCATATACTATATTCGTTTCTACACGATTCCATGAATTTTTATTTTTACCTTCTTGCTCGAATTCTCGTAATATTCTGCGGAGGTACTTCCTTTGATTCTTCCATTTCGTTTGATTGTTTGGTGTTGATTCAATTTGGTGTCTCGATCCAAGTTCCTATCGTTGTTACGAATGGTCGTTTTGAGTTGTATCACATTGTGTCGATGTATATACTGTATTCGTTTCGATGATACTGATCATTAGAAGAATGTTCGGTTTGATACGTAAAACATGGTGTCGATGGATATGCCATATTTGTTTCGATGGCACTGATTAATATAAGATTTCTATTTTTACGTTTAGCCCCTTTAGCTAGGTGATAGATTATTTTTAAGTGTTTATTAAATTTCCTACCATGTCTCACTAATATAAATATTAGTTTTGATTTCAGTTTAAATTTGGATTGATCGCAAGGACACCGAGGGAGAACGCCGCGCCCGCCGAGGGACTTTTAATTCCGAGTTGATTAGTCTTAAGCTTCGTCGCGAGTATTAAAATTAAAGTCGAAGCCTTCTTTATTATACGTGTCTCCGTGTCCTACCAAGCAATTATTCAATAAGTAGATTGTGTCTCTCGCTCGTTCCCTCGTTCCTAGCTTCGGTCACCGCTGTTTCATCGATTGAGACATGTGATCGGCCGTGTAGCTGGCCCGACAGATCTAACCGCCTTCCCTTGGTAGCTCGATCCAGGGAAAATGGTACTCTGCTGGAAGGTGTGGAGTATCCGTATCCTGCGGAAACGCATACCTTCCAGCGGAAGTCGACACTGAAACAGAGGTACTCTCTCTTTGTCAGACAACTTGAGTCGGGTCCTTCGGGCTCCCGGCGGGTTGCGTTGGAGCAATGGAGACCTTAGATTCGGAGTCGCAGCCGTCCGTTATCCTGTAGAGATCTAGTTAGCAAGGGCAGTAGGTTCGATCCTCGGATCCGCTGCACGGTTCAGCTTCGCGTCGCGTCGTGTCGCGTCGTGTCGCGTCGCGTGTCCCTCAAATTAACTTCGTCCCTCTTTTTAACCAAATAATTGCTTGGTACATCCAAGGAACTTTGTTTCCTTCTATCGTCCGAATTTTAGTTTCAACTTGACCAGACTTGAGCTTCGACGTTAATTTTAAGTCCCTATCGTACGCGTCTCCCAAAATATTTCCAAGTAATTATTTAACAAGTAGCTTCTCTCGACTCGTTCTCTGGTTCCTAGCTTCGATCACCGCTGTTTCATCGATCGAAACATGTGATCGGCCGTCCAGTTTGTCCGAAAGATCTAGTCGCCTACCCATGATAGATCGATTGCTAGAAATAGGAATCAATCTACCAAGGGCAGTGTTGATTCGATCCGAAGATCTGCTGCACGGTTCAGCATCGCGTCGCGTCGCGTATCCCATAATTTAGCTTCATCCCTTTTTAAACGAAATAATTACTTGGTAGCTAAGCTTAGCTAAAAGGGAGATCGATGGAACTTTGATTCCATCTATCTCCCTTCGGGTCTCCACTCGCAGCAACCTCCACGTGGTGAGACCTGGGTCATATTATTTAGTATGTAATTAATACAATTATTAATTACATAGGAAATAATATGAGCTAATGGCTGCGTTCTTCTTATAGTTCCACATACCTTGTTCGTCCTGGTGTGCGGTCTAATAACACTGATTTCGAGTCGCAAATACGTTTTTGCCGAGTTAGTTTTTAAATAAATAATATATTACAATTTACAATAAAAAATAGTGGATTTGCGGTGTATTTATCAATGAGATTCTTACGTATTTTAATAATTTTGAAATCTTTAAATAATCTCGATCGATTGGTTATTCCAATGAAATTAATCGATCGATGCTCAATTCTGGACCATACAGCTTTCATTCCGTTAAAAAATAATAAAATTTATGTAATTTTATTTTCCGTCTCACTTCCTCTTGTGTTAATTTCTAAATCTGTTGATAACGTTGCGAGTGATACGAAAATGGTAATGGGGTCCCGGGACCCCAGAAACTCCGGCCGAAAAATTACATTAGGTGAAAGGTCTATTCATATATGTACCTCGTCTGTGCTTGGACACCAATGATTATTAACCAACGGTTATTAACTCTAATAAGTGGTCGAAAGTATCTCTTCAGACTTTGTAGTTTGTAAAATAACGTTTCATAAAACTTTGCATTATATATTTACTTTAACAGCAGTATTATCTCAAAGAACTTAAGTAACGAAAACATAAATATAATGAAATGCAATCGTTTGAAGACTACTCATAGAGTTGATACAAATTCAAACATTTTTAATTCTCAAGAGTGTCAAGACACGAGAAGAAATTGAAAGAATCTTGATAAAACGTTCATTTGGGAGCGACGCATTACAACGAGGGTAGGACAACAATCAATAGATAAATTAAACGTTTGAGTGAAATATGTATGTATATATATCTCGTGAAAAAGCTTTGACAACATTTTATTGTTAACCGCAGAAAAAGCCATATACACTTTCACACGAAATCGATCATAGTTTGTAATAATATCGAAAAATTTATAATAATTGAATGTTGTACATAAATATAAAGACGACGATGTTGCACGTTCTCGTGTGTGCCAAAACTGTACAAAAATTATCTCGAACATCTTTCGCAACGCTCGTTGAACAACTTATTACTCGGTGATTGTGGCATTTTTATATCCCTTTTTTTCGTTCGTCTCCCGTCTTCGTTCTTGCAGTATTCTTCGCCTTCTCCCTTGCATTAGTAAAATGACGTACTACTTGCATTCTGAGGTGCGTTTACAAATTCACAGAGCTTCTCTTGACTTCACATAAATTGCGATATATTTAAAATCGATAATCAAATACACGGCCGGAGCGGGTGGAAGGAACGATTTTTGGTGTTTTTTTTTTTTTGCGCTTCTATAAATCTATCTATCCTATGTACTTTTAGCCGCGACGGTCAAGTGCCATATATATATACATATGTATGTATATATATATATATATATTTATTTGTTTATTTATTCATATAATTTTTTTTGTATTTTACTCGGTACTTCGAACGCAGCACGCACCTCGGTTTTTTCCTCCCATTATATCGCGAATCATTGATTAACAACAGCGATTACATATTTAGACGTTGCGTGCTCCATTGTAAATCTATTTATTAATTAAAGTTTATATATATATATATTTATGTATTTATTTAATATACCTCTTCTCTAGAATTCCTTTGCAGTGACGTCGTTAATGCGATTAATCGTTCCCCATTTTATCCATTCTTCTTTTTAATCGTATTGCTCTATCTCCGATATATCTGACAGTTATATTCCCTTCTATTTCGTTTTCCATTATTCCTCTCTCTCCATTTCTTTTATTATTATTATCCCCTAAATCGATTCGTTCGACATTATCGACATGTCAGTTATGCATTTACCATGTTAATACTTATTAAATATTCTTTTAATTATTGTAGATCACAGACAACTTGTTCTTAATCCATAAAAACAATTCAATTAATATTTTCTTCCATGGGTTATCAGTGTGTATCTGTTTGCGTATGTTTCCACGTGTTTCTGTATGTTTCCGTGTATACCAGTGTGCGCACGTTCGTTCGGCGAAGGCGTATTACAAACCGAGTGTACGCGTTTGTTTGCGTCTGTGTGTAAGTGTGTCGGTTGTTCGTACGCGAAGTAGATCGCAAAAATTGCAAAATGACGAGAGCTCGTGACGAATGAGGTCTCTTCTCAAATATTTCGATGCTACGTGGAACGTTAAAATTTACACCCTATGCAGATATTGTAATCGTCTTCGGGTCAAGCACCAAGGTAATTGCTTCGCTTTCCAGCGAGAATAAAGAAGGTCTGAATGGGCCAAGAGACGCTTTTCTTTCAGTGCTACAACTGTCTCCGTTCGCGTTTCAACATTCATCTTCTTTGTTCCGTGGTTGGCCGGCAAATCGTTCAATTTACGAGCCATCGTGATATCAATTTTCGAACGGCGTTTGGTGTCCACGGTGCAAACGTTTGATCGATAACTCCTACGCGCCATGGAACAATAAAGTTATCGTTAATAAACGCCGCGATGCTTCGCAAATTCCACGCAAATCGATCGCTGCTACGTACGTACTTAAGATTAATTGTCGCGTACTATGAACGATGCTCGTCGAAGATTCGTTCGGGGACGAACGAACGGAAATCATGGATGGAAACGTCGTGGCTCGCGTCTGAACGATATTCGATAATTCGCGGTATCTTATTATCGACGGATCTGGACAGTCGATCGTAACTCAGCGCCGGGAGTCCCCAAAATCGTTCGACTTCTAGGCGCCGCCAATTTCTTTAAGCATCAATTTTTTCCATCGATCTCAGGGGTGAAGGTTCAACCCGTCCTGCGCCACCCGTATCGATTCACGCGCAGCAACCAGGCCACGAAAAACTACTGTTACTTGTTTTACCAGCTGCGCAAGTGGCCTTACGTAATCGTGGAGGAGGTTGGGTTTTCGATCATAATTCTATGTATTAAATTCTCCGTTGCGAATCGTCTTCGGCGCCTTACGATGCAAAGGGAAAGAAATGCCTGTTTCGTTCCTAGCGACGAACCTGACCCGAGCATCCCTCGAAAAATTACATTTTTCCGCGACACAAACGCATGTCCTGGCGTTACGATAGTTTCGAAACGAGGCTGACTTTTACTAAGACATTTTTACGGTTGACAAACATTGAATATTTTTAATGGACTTTATTGCATTGGTTCGTTTTACAATAGTATCTCGGAACACGAACAGATCCAAGTAGTAGAAATAATGGAATTTTGGAGATATGTCTTGAGAGACAATTTGATGCTCAAGTACGTGCAACTCACAAAAGGAGAATTTAGAGCTATGAATAGGTAACTCAAATGGGTACTTTACGAGACACATATGTATCTAAATATCTTGGGTATCAACGCAGGAACTTAAATAGGCATCCAAATGGGTACCTAATTGAACACTAATGCAATCAGCATTCAAATAGATGTCTGAATTGGTACCTAGTCGTATACTGTAACAGTTACTCGAATTAGAATTTAAATAGTTACGCGGGTTACCTACATAATTATTTCAATTATTATTTAATTGCAGTCAAGTCTGTCGAAATAATTCATGGCTTCGTTGTTTGAGCAATGCAAAACACTAGCTTTTATACGTCAAACGTTATAATAAATAAAGGTTATAAGTAACTGTGTTCTAATTACTACTGTGATTATTTCTTGCATTGGAAATAATTGCAAAAATGTAAATGCGTAGCACGACAAGCGAGTAATAATTAACGCGTTTGCGATTTCTCTTCTTAGAGCATTCGACGAATAAAAGCAGTCGCAATATTACCTCGCTCCTTGACTAACTTCTTGTTCGATTATAGGCAACGATTTTTCTTCCGAAAAACGACTTAATCCAATTTCTGAACGAGTAAAGTAGAGGAACGCTCACGGACATAATTCCCCGTTCAGTTATCGAGGGAGAAATTTGATCAGTTAGCGAGGTAAACGGTCCACACTAATAAAGAATAGTGCAATGCATTCCTCCGACAAGATCGTTAAATTTTCTGTACGATTCGTGAATAATTCTGCAAAATGTTTTACTTCTCGATTATAACTCTTATAGATATTTACAACTATAATCGAAACGAAAAAATTGTGAAATTAAGACTCAGAGTCCCTCCTTACCATCGATCAATTCGGCAGTGAAAAAGTCAAATTTGCCCACGCTTATCAAAGGCAAATAATTCAAAAGTCAGAATATAAAAATATAGTAGTTAAAACGACCGTGAGTTTAGTAATTTAAAAGCGATTTTGAACAGTCTGAAAAGACGAAAGATTGCTAATAGAGGGTGGTCGTGGATGCTCGGTAAAAATCAGCCCCGCTTCAAAATCTGTCGTCCTTCTGGCTTCCTAACCCCAATGTTCCTTCAACAAATTCACTTTCTAACGAACTCCGTTCATCCACCAGCCAAAAGGGACGCTGGTACCGCGAAGGGGTGGCGATTTTCGATCCAGCTGGCACGCAAGCCACGAGAGAATGCCTGATCAGAAGCATGTGTGTCGCGGCGCGTTCAAACGGACGCGTATATATACGTGTGTGTACGTGTTTGTATGTACTTGTGTGCGTGTATGTTCGTGTCTCGAGTGTTTGATGCAGTGTTCGACTCGTCTACAATGCACGTGGAGAGCGGCGTATCTCAGATGCGTCATGATCACACAGCAAGCGGATTAACTTAGTAATACTTGTTAATTGGTAACGGTACTCTTAAATTAGCGAATTTGCTCGTTCAAGCTATTTAGTTCGAACCGTGCGACCGTTCGTCGCGCGTTCGGTTTCCCTAACTCTTCTTCTCGATCGTCGTTTCTTCCGCCTCGACGAGTGAACCAGAGTCAGCCTGTTATTACGCGTCGTCGCAGAGAGAAAGGATCGCGCGCGCGTGTTTGTGTGGTTTTGTGTGTTCTGTGTGTGTAGTGTGCAGTCGGGATCGGCAGGAATGCTTTCGCGCGACTTCTATCACGATGTGGTGGAGCAGACCGCGGAAGTGGCTCGCACGTGTGCGCGTTCTTCTTCTTGTCGATCGAGTCGACGCTCGACGTACGGACGCCAGACAGTTTTGGCCTGTCTGGGCGTTTCGCGGCAGAATTGGGTGAGAGTCGTTTGCGGATATCGCACGGAGGAAACGTTGTGCACGATAGTAACCGGTTCTCGACACCATACAGGGCGTTTCCGAAAGGGTTTAGGAATATCTCGACGAGATTTAAGCTCCGAGTGATCGCGACTCTTCTTTGAATTCTTCTTTCGAAAGCGTTCAGAGACGATTAGTGCTTCTTGGAACACCTAAGAATTGTTTGCGCTAGTTCAGTTTACGATCTCGAGTAAAGAAACTCGTAAACGTCCTCCGGTTGAACAATTCGATAGGCATGTAGCAGTGATTTAGAAGGAAACAGCTTAATATGGCGATTTAAGTTCCGAGTGACCAAATTCTTCTTTGGATTGATCTTTCGAAAACGTTCAGAGACGATCAGTGCTTCTTGGAACACTTAAGAATCAGCGACTAATTCAACTTGCGATTTTGAATCTCATTGTAAACGTCCTTTGAACAATTCAACAGGCATAATAGCAGTGATTCGGAAGCAAATAGTTTAAGAGATCATCTGCAGACTTAATTCTAAACTGGCCAGCTTCTTCTTAGGATTCTTCGTTCTTCTTGTTGATGCATTGGATGGATCAAATCGATGATCCTCCTTCCAACGAACAATGATGACTTCGACTGCTTCGATTTATATTTCCGAACAGTGATGGTAATTTTGAAGGGAAATGCTTTCCTCTGCTTCGCGTAGTAAATAATTTTGAGCATAGGTTGTCTACAGATTTAAGTATTGACTGGCCAGCTTCTTCTTTCGATATATCTACGGATGATTAGTTCTCTCTGAGACATGCAAGAATTTATTTCGACTGCTTCGATTTACGTATTTGAGTCTTTTTTAAACATCCAACGAAAACCCAACTTGAAGTTTTTCTTACTGTCATCGAATTAAGCCTCAACTGTTCAGTGTTTTACTGTTTGCATCGTGCAACGATTAAGTGATTTCAGTATTGATCTTATGCATATGGTGTTCCAAAACACGTTAATACAACTTCAAAAGGCAAATTCAACACGGTAAAATGAGACCATTAACATGTGACTTTATTCTTAGGTTGCAGCCATTTTGTTTTCCAGTAATTTTTACGATAAACTCTTTCTTCGACTGTTTATAAGTCAGGTTTCCTTAAACACTATTTTGTAACGTGCTCGAGTCGGTGCATTCTCTTAAAGAACTGAAAGTTAGTACAGTTTTGTGACAATTTGCATTTAGATTGACAATGGCAGGTTATAGAAACGCAAAAAGGCGAATATACATTTAAAGGTACCTACTTTAAAAAATTTCTGTAAAGATAGGTGTATTCGGTATAGTATACACGTTTATATGAATTTTTTTATTATTTTACTGTGCTGAAATCGTCTCTGAAGTTATGCCCACACGTTGTGAAATACTCTGTATATTTTAATACCAAATTCTTCCTTTCACTGACTGAAAATTAGTCCTTCAATTTGCACGTTTGTGCCTCGATATAAACATTGGCTGGAAATCCAAATCAAGACCCTAATGGTGTTCTGACCATCTGTGTATTTAATTCGTTTAATTCGTGATTGCTTCAAATTAAATTTTACAATTTTATATCATAGACGACTTTGGAAAACTCACTTCAACAGGAAACGATCGATGATAATTCAGAAGGCAAATGCTTCGGTGGCTGTTTCGTGTAATGTTTAAGCTACTCGAGCATCGATCATCAACAGATTTAAATCTATATTGGTCAGTATCTCCCTTCGGATCTTCTATTGACTGCGTCAAGGTGTGATTAATCCCTCTTGGTACATCCAAATGATCAGTTTCATTTATCTCAATTTATCATCTTCAAACCTTGTTATAAACGACCATTAGAAACCCAATTGAACAGACGAGAAGTGGTAGTAATTCAGAATTCAAACGTTCTTAAACGCTCCCAAACGTTTCGACTTATTGGAGTATTGTAGAATTTATTCTGAAATCCGTTTGGTTTGTTTCGGAAGTACCCCTCAGGACGAGACCCTGAAATTGGCGTCGGAACATCGGCAACGAATCCAAATATAATATTTCCTCGCTGGATTCTTGCCAATCGAGGCGATCGTTTTGGCGACAGCCGTCCACGATCGGCCAAAGAAGGACGAGTCCTCGACGGATTGATCGGCGGTCCTGTTTAGGGCCGCCCTTAGAGACGGTCGCGACACGGGCGGTTATCGAGTAGAAAAAAGTCTGTCACAAAATATCGTTTGTCTCTATGGATAATAATTAGCGCGTACGGGGACAGTTATGCGATAGCGTGCGGCGTACTAAAAACACTACTCGTTGAACGACACTCTGGATCACTTCTCTGTTCGTTCGAGGAGAGGACGACGTATCGACGCCCCGTTTCCCGTCTGGAAATCTCGCGTCGAACGTCCCGTCTGCCTCTGGTTCACTCGGTGAACGTTCCCGAAGCTAGTTTCTGCAGCTGGCGTTAATAGTACTGGGTTTTCATTCTTGTTAGTAGGTGAGAGAATATTGGCTGTCCGCGGTCGGTAACGTTAATAAGCTACTGTAGAATCTCTCGCTCTCTCCGTCTGTCTCTCGTCCCCGTGCTTTTGGGTCACTTAGCGCGGCTTCCAGGAGATGTTGTTCAGACCTTGAAATTGCCGCTTCAGACTGCCGCCGTCGGCCCAGGGGGAGTTGAGATACTCGTCGTCATCGTCTTGCTCAAGTTTCTGAAACAGGCGTATCGATGTTGGTCAATGGAGCATGGAAAGTTTTATCACGGGTTCTTTGACATGGGAAAGAGGACACGCGAACGGATTATTTATGGAGATCTTTTTTATAAACATTAGGAAGTTGATAGTGACCTTATAAAACATCTATTTGATAAAGTTTCTGTAAGAATCCTTTAGTTCAGGAATCGTGTCAGCCATTAGGAACCTCATTCAATAACATATAATTCAATCAGTTCCAATTAGTTTAGCTTGACAAAAATTGTGAACATTCATGAAACATAAATAAATGTATATAGAAAATATCGAAATCAAGAAACTGAAACTTTCTTTTTTAAAAGATCCTTAAAGAGACCAAAAAATGTGAAACTCTAGACTAGAATGTCCCCCTTAATATTCCTATGGTATGAAACAGATTAGCAAGAAGTTTCCAAGCTCCAATTCGGGCGTTCGAGGTGCAAAGATCCGAGCAATTCCGTTCTCCCAAAGGAAATTAGAGCCATCGCTTCTCCAAAACGAAATCAATAGAAGCAACGGCGGAAGTCAGAGATCGTGACGGTCGCGCGAGCACAAACCGATTAGCAGTTTCGAACGAAGAGGCGACAATAGATCCCTTAATGTTTATCAGGCGCATGCTCTACTTGCTCGAATTGAAACCAGCCCAACGCCAAGCGTCAGCGTATTATTGATCAAAGTATACACATTCGTACGGTGTCGAAAATCTTCGAAATTACAGACAGCATCGATTATCGGCTCGTTGGCCGATGGACGACTTTTCGTCGCGACGCTGAATCTCGGTTTTCGAGCGTCGATTGATGCCGTCGACGGGGTGGAAACTAACGCGAAAAGAAATAAATATATATAGGAAAATAAGTTTTAAGGAGAAAAAGCCTGATGTAGAGTGGCGTATAAGCGAGTTGCCAGAACCGAGGCCACTCTAACGCCCAACGAGGACAGCACTATCGATCGCGTGTGGCACTAACGAGCAATTTCGTGTATTAAAGTCCATATTTTATTGATCACGGATATCGGAAACTTGTGTGTGGTCTACGATATAATGGCCGGCGGACTGCGCTCGTGCAATATTCAGCTTTTTAAAGCGTTTCAATTTGTATCGCGGTGCTTTGATCCTTTGGAAATCTGTAATCGACGAATTAGCGGTTGCCCGAGATGAACTGTTTCATTCGAACGCTAGATAATTGATAAGACCAACGTACACCATTTATTTACGACGTCTATTAGATCGAGTAGTTCAATTTTTAAGTGTTCTTTATCAAATATTCGTTGAAAATTTTATTTTTATTTAACGAAGAACGAATGAATCTATAATTAGATATTAAATAAAGATGTTAATTCGTGTTCCTCAACAGAACATTACTTAAATTGCTTCTATGTATATAGATCAATTTTTCAAAAAACAGAGCACACAATTTTTTAATATTTAAAATTGTTTCAGTAATCTCTATTAGCTATATCGAGTCCTCCCTCATTATGATATAAAGAGGAATACTGTATGCAAATAATGCCTTTATCCATATATTATGAAACTATCTGCGACGTTCCATACAGGGATCACCCGAATAATTTAAAAGTTTAATATTTTATAGGCATGTTCGATTGTTATGAATAAACTTGGACTGTTTTAGTATTCGATTATCATTACTTAAACATCGTTACTGTTTTAATATTATTATTCGAATATCATTATCCGTTTTATTATTACGAAAGTAGTATACAAGAATGAAAGAAAAATGTGTGAGTTACGTATTTAAACATTACGTCTTGTTATCAGCCTATTATCGGATTACGTACACGGATGAATCGTCAGGGGAAGTGAAGTGGATAATTCTTGGAAGATGATCGATAATCTGTGCGCAGACAAATATGTACACATGTATATAAATACAAATCAATGTATATATATATATAGTAATTGATAGTTCCTTATTCAAATGAATAATGCACCATCAGGGACCATTATTGCTCCTCAATGATAAGTCAAAATGAAGGGAATAATGGATGTAGGAGCTTTTATATTGAAAACATGATTACTCCTCTGAAACTCCAGATGTCTCCAATGTACTATGTATCAGTTAATTCGTTTCATAATGAGGGACTTTGAATGAAGAAATTGCAAAGTAAAAAGTTGGAATTCCTAAAAGGAATAAAAAAAACAAAATGTTTAATACAGAGAAACGTAGATAATTTAAACGACCCTTTCTGCTAACACATTACTCACGGAGGCGTAACTTGCTTGTCCCGTTTAGATCTATCATTTATTTCGGACACAGTGATTTAATTTTTTCATTAGAGAGGCAGATCTAATAACGTTTTGGAAACTCTTCCAAGGTAAAGTTTACTGGGTCAGCATTGTCGATATTTCCAGTTGTGTAACAGTTGAACTTATAATCATACATTTATTTTTGTATGGTTGTACCCCCAAATATATTAGCAATATAAATATTTTTAGTGCCATTGCTTCCTTAAGGAGAGTAGGCAGACATATTCTTTCAAAAGAAAGTTTACTTTAAGAATGATATAGAAAGATACTTATTTGTATTTTAAAAGGCAAGAATATTTGTTCTCATTAGATATGTGTGGTAAAAAGGATGTGGTAAAGGGCGCAGCACGTGGTTGATTGGAGTGCCACTTTTAAGATGTACTTGCTCTAATCAGAGGGTCCTGGACTAACGCCACAATGTTTTAACTCTTTAATTGTTCGAAAGTCTGTATAATTCTTTCTTTGTGTCGCAGAGAATTTAGAATAAAAATCTAACAACCTACGATTTAGTGATTTACACTCACAATAAATATATATCTAATTTAAATTTTTTTAAGAATTAAGCTTTTTATGAACAAATTTTTAAAATATATTTCTTCGACATTTGTAAATATTGAGGGTTAAAATAAGGATTGAAATATATTTCTTTCGAATATTTGAAAATATTGAGGGTTAAAATATGTTTATTTCGAGTATTTGAGTCGGCCAAATGCAGGAAAATTCGACGACTCTAATGTCGTGGCTCTAATTTCGTGCCCTAGAATCTGATAATTCCTGGGGTGGTTTTCATATCCAGAAGAAGGTGATCACGAATATTCAACGCGCTCGAGGAAAGAAAGCTGCAGGTCACATAGTTGGTCGGACCGGGAAGGGATAAGAGCTGGTTGAAAGTGGAAACGGGGTGAGTTGTTGGAGTTAGGCTCGAGACTAGGGCGGAGGTGGTTAGGTCAGAATCGATGCCTGCGTCCTTGCTTGGTCTCACTCACGCATCCCATATAAAGGTCGATTCACATCCAACGGAAAGGTTCTCATTGTCGATCGGATATCAGTTTCGATATCAGCGATCTGCTCCCCCGAAAAATTGGACCAAACCAAATGCTCCGTCGTTGAAATCGTAAAATGAGGAACGTGGAAGTAGCGATAAGCTTTATTCGATCAATCGAACGATGAAACCTGACGCTTTAATCATTATATCATCATATATTCCCATCTATTCACGTTCAGAACAGTTCACATATTTTACTACGTTCTGTTTATAAAATATTTTTATTCCTAAAATGAATGATCGATAACCACGTGCAATTGTATATCTGTAATTATCTTTTTGTTTAATTACATTCTCTCTTGAACATCAGGATCTACAGAATCTACAGATATTGGGTTTTGATGTGGAAATTTCTTATTCAAAAATTGAGAGGAAATTAAGGTTCCTCCATTTCTCTTCAAACAAAAAGTATGATACTATGCACGATTGTATTTTAATTGCATCACGAAGTCAAAAATATGAGTTCATTTGGGTCCTTTCTGAAATAAACATTCAGAAACAGACACAAGATCAACTCGATGTCAATGTTTCAGAACTCTTCTGCATTTTGAGTGGACACAAACAAACAGATTCATGTAATTGCAAACGAAAAGCGAGTTTGGGGTAAGTTTTAATGATACGATACTGGAAACCATACGATAGGACGAAATTGATATTGTGAGAAGGGTTGCTCATGGTAATCAATAACGAAATTACGTTCGTTATTCAAGTTAAATGATAGTGATTTCTGTTCATCTGCTGAAGGGTGAATACACTACGATTCATCAGTTTTTCATAAATATAGGGATTATGTATACAGTAATAGTTTTTAAGCTAGGGTCTGTAGAAATTTTAAATATTTATTTTCGTTGCATATAGCAGGTCTGAAAATCAAACAAATTTTCTAGTATAGTTTTGACTTAAAAATTAAAATTGATGAATTTAGTCGTTGAATCTAATGTACGCTTCCAGCATAATCAGAATTATGAACTAGGATCACGAGACGAGCATAATAAAAATCTTAAATCACGGCTGGGTTGCACGGAACGTGGAAATTAATTATTCGTTGACAAAAGTCATGAGGATTGTAGAGGTTCTAGAGATATGTCAGACGGCTTGAATTTTATTATTCACACTGTTTGCACGACGAGTCGTTTAACCGTGAAACCCCCTCAAGGAAGTACCCTTTTGAAAGCTTCAGCAGTAGTTTTTGGCAAGCCGACAACGCTATTATCTTTCCCTGCTTTGTTCGATGGGGCTCCTTTCACGGCGATTCCACTTTCTCAATAAAATGGAACGGCTAACAATAAACCTAAAAGAAAGATTCGACCCTAGACTGTGCGTAAAAGCGCAACTTCAACAATAAACCCGACACAATGCAGCTTATTAAATATTCCACACGTTCCTGAACGTCAATGCAATGATTAGCCTCTTTGGTCGACCAAGCTATAATATTTACACGGCGTTTCAAGCGATTGTAAAAAGTTACAACCGAAGAGCCCATCAAATCGCGCGTTCTTTTCACATTGAATAACTTTCAAATTGAATATCGATCGAGTATCTATCCTGGCTGTAAGTTTTGATACGACAATAACACGAAACTTATGGTTTGTTATAAGTTTCTGTCCTGAAAGTTCAGGATATGGTTTAACATTTAAAGGAACTAGCAGCAGCATCTATTAGTTGCTTATTTTA